CTCCCAGAAGGTCAGGGAGCAAGATAGGACCCCACTCGGACGGGACACCCTTCCATAGCAGAGCCACTCAGACATCCACACTCTCTCAGACTGGGACAGCGTAGAAACGCCTACCACCTACCATCTTTGGGATGTGGGTGGAAACCAAAGTCCCTAGAGAAAATCCATGCAAACTCCACCCAGACAGTGGCCCTGGCCTGAATGGACTTTTTTCTTCTCATCAACATGATAACGAAATGACATTGAATGAAATGATGTGATTCGAGGGCCTGTGTGACCATTTCTCCTTCCAAGGAAACAGAGCACGGCCAGAAGTCCTGCCCACTGGGAGGCTCACCGTGTCCTTCAGAGCTGTTGCAGAGCTGGGCTGCGGTGCTACGGCGGTGCACTGTGATGCCTGCATATGATGCAGACCTGGCCCTAGGAGTGTTCTTCTCTGCCTGCTGATTGTAGGGCACTTCCCATGACGCCCCAGAGAGAAGGCAGTGTCACAGGAGTGGGGACCATGGGCATTTGGGCCACTTCTTCATACAACTTCACCTGTGTACCTTGTCCATTTGACAAGGTGGAGTGCAGCTCTACATGCCCAACCTCATGGCCTGGTGGGTCAGATAACAAGCAGTCCACGACGGCCAGCTCAGATCGCATGGTAACTTGATGGCCCATGGCTAAGCATTCAGTCTCTACTCAGGCCCCGTAGCAGGCCAAGAACTGTTTCTCAAAAGGAGATTCGTTATCTGCAGGGCTTTGTACCCAAATCCTAAGGGCCTGCGCTGCAATTGACTTGTAGGGACCTGCCAGCGGCTCCAAAAAGCATCCCTTTCTGCTCCTGCCACTTCGAGCACCATTGGGCCTGCTGGATCCGATGGCCTGAGTGGCGAGCGGCTCGTATGGCAGTCTGGACCTGTTGCAGAGCCTTCTCTTGTTCTGGGTCCTGCTCAAAACGAGCAGCTTTTTGGGCCGCTCACTACACAGGATGGAGCAGCGCAACCAAATGAGGACTCTGTTGCCTCTGAAACCAGTAGGGGTGGCGCCTCCTCTTTGATTGCAGGAGAGTCCAGATACAACCATTTATCCTTCACCTTTGAAGAGATATCGGAACATGCCCCACCCACAGGACCCCTAGAAATTCCAACAACGTGGAAGGACCTAAAATTGGTCAGATTTGTTTCCCACCCGCTGACACATAAATGTCTTACACGTGGAGCTGAAACAAAGCGTGAGGTCCTATTCACTTGCTCACTAGGTGCAGTCAGCGTAATGTCATCAGTGTCATGGGCCGGGGTGGTATCTTGTGGAAGAGAAAGGTGACTGGGTTATGACATAGGCCGGAGAGCTGACATTCCTCTGAGGTAGGACCGTGAAGTCGGTAATGCTGGCCTTACCAGCAGAGAGCAAACTGCTTCGGGTGGGCCTTATGGACAGGGATGGACCAAGAAAAGCATTTGTTAAATCAGTATTTGCGTCCCAGGGGATGTGTTGATTTTCTCAAGCAATGAAGCCACATATGGAACAGCAGCAGCAATTAGAGTCGCCGCCTGGTCAAGTTTACAAGAACCCTCTGTCTTCTCAGAGACCTAGCACTCTCTGCCCAGGCCAGACAGGAAGGATGGATGGGGGTGTGGGGGCATCACTACCCCTGCGTCCCGTAGGCCCTGATGGCGGCACTCATCTCTGCAGTCCTTCCAGGAGCATGGTGTTACTTTGGTTCACTATTTTCCAGGTCGGGGCAGTTCTGGTGGCTTCCACTTGGCCTTTCCCACATAATATCCCTCACTCCCAGGCCAGGGACCAGTGTGGGGATGCTGCCAGCTGCTCAGTGCGTCTAGCATAATTACACATCCCAGAACTGGGGAGCAACCACGGGATGGATCTGGGGACTCCCTGGGCCCATGGTGAGATGGACTTGCTCACCTGACCTCCACAAGCCCCTTTTCTGACTGGTGGGCCACAGGGACCCTGGGTCCCCTGGAATCTGTCAGGTCAGAGCCAGCGGGCAGTGGCCCCCCCAAAGGCCTGATTATCTCCTTTTCCCCAGTGCAGTTACCCTGGCGAAAGGCTGTGGTTCCCTGGTGAAGGCTGGGAGAAAGATTAGCATATAAACATTTGGTAGTGCACGGGAGTCCCTCATTGGGGGACCCAGCCTCCCCTTCATTCAAGGGGCGCTGGGCTGTAAACTGGCTCAAGTCTGAGAACTGATTGAGGGGCCACAACTCTCTGTTTTTATGATTCAGATTAGACTTTATTCACTTGACCTAGAACTTTCTGTTTATACAGAATAAGTAAAGCTTTAGTAGGCTTCCTGCCTATCTCACTTCCAGGAACACCATGATCAGCAAGCTAACGCCATGATTCCGGCATGTAGGACTATTGTAATTGCTGCTTTGACTCTCTGTCCATTCAGTACCCACACCCACCTTGCTTCTGGTGGTGGATGTCTCCACCAGGCTGCTGCCACCCTGAGATGGGATCCAGTTACCCCCACTGCACTTAGATTTCTGAATTCAGTGACTGCAGGTCCCCCTGTGAGGTCTGGCCTACGGAGAAGAAAGATCACAGAGCTCCTCCTAGGATGCTGGGCTCCCCTCACAAACTATCTCTCACAGTGTAGTGAAAGGCCTGTCTTATGGACCTCCTCAGGGTGGGTGCCTAGGTCCCAAGTGAGAAATCCACTTCAACATGACAGTCCCCCTAAGTCTTTGAATCCCTTCCTCAACAAAGGCAGGCCCAGCATTTCTAACTCACTCTCTGTGGTCCTTGTTTCATCCAACCAACCACACAGACCGTTAGAGCCCTTTCTGACTCCCCAAGATGCAAGTTTAGATGCATCTCATCTTCCCTCTCTGTGTGTCTGTCAGAGTTCAAATTTCCCCTTTTTATAAAGTTACTAGAGGCCCAGTGCATGGATTCGTGCACTGGTGGGATCCCTCGGCCTGGCCTGCAGGGATTGGGCCGAAACCAGTCCAGTGCACAGATTTGTCCAGGGTGTGTCCAGCCCATCTTGCCCAGTCCTGATCAGCCGGACCCCAGCAGCAAGCTAACCTACCGGTCAGAGCATCTGCCCCTGGTGGTCAGTGTGCATCATAGCGACTGGTTGAATAGTCAAACGAATGGTCAGACACTTAGCATATTAGGCTTTTATTATATAGGATACATGTTTGGGGCCACATTCAAACATGATTATCTCCAAAGACCCTAGTTCCAAGTAAGGTCATATTCCCAGGTACTGGGGGTTAGTACTTCAGCACATGAATTGTGAGGGGAAACAAGTCAACCCTTAACAAATACCATTATTTTTTCATTCTAGTCCTTCACAGCAATATTGCCAACAATTTTTCCCCCTAGAAAATGGTTCCAAAGACTCCCAATCAGGATTCTTTTGTTGTTGTTGAAGTTAATCTACACCCGAGGATAGTTTTCCCATTGATTTTTAAAGAGAGTGGAAGGGAGAGGGAGAGACATCTTATGTGAGAGAGATATATCAGCTGGTTGCCTCCCGCACCTGCCCCAACCAGGACCGGGGGTTGAGGTACATGCCCTTGACCGGAATCGAACTCAGGACCCTTCAGTCCTCCGGCCGATGCTCTAACCACTGAGCAGACTGGCTAGGGCATAATCAGGATTCTTTTTCACAGGAATTTGTATGGCTACAACCAGATTCCCTGAACCCTTCCCAGGAAGTGTGTGTCTTTGTGGGAAGACTGTTCAACCTAAAAATCTAGCAGCTCTTAGCTCTAGAGAATAGACTATGTAACCAGGGAGATCTGGTAGTCCCAGAACATATAGTTGGCAGGTGGGCCCAATATCTGGGCCAGTCACCCAGGGAGCCCCAGGAGGAAGGAGGGAGGCCCCCCACTATCCCAGACAGCTCTGTTCTCTCCTCAGAGCTCAAACTTAGAACTAACCTCTCTAGTTCTCTGGTTCTCTTTATCTATTTAGTCTCGAACCTGTGTTGCCTTCATTTTGTAGCATTGAGCATTTCTATTGCTACTAGGGACCATTTTTTCTTTAATCTAGATTGGTGGTTTGGGGGCTCCTGGGAGAGTAGGTTTTGCTTGTCTTTGTCATATTTTTGCAACAAAGCCAGTTATTGAATATTTCCTTGGTAACTGAAATCTTCCCACAGTATTCCTCTAACTTATGTGTCCATGTGACCTCTGGATCACAATGTTCCATCGAGGCATTAGTAGATAATTCTTTTGGTTCATCTTCTAGTAGTTCGTATCTTTGTTGCATTCGACCTAAGAACACATGAGAGATGAAGCTTTTCCCGTGACAAAGCCCATGCACACATTTGGTTTCATTTTAGCCTCACTTCAACTTCGTACAGTGGACAAGGTGTTGGTGTCTTTATTTTACAGAAAGGTGGCCTGAGACTGGGAAAGGTTAGGGAATGAACTCCAAGGAGGGGCAGAGCCTTACCCAGCCACCCAGTGTGTTAATACCGGAGCTGGGCCACATCCCCCGAGTTCCAGGTCATTGTGCCCTCCGTGGCACCAGGCCAGTTCCCCAAGAGGCGCCTCTCTGTCTCTCTGTCCTCTCCCCTTGTAAGCTTGCTTGTTGCTTTGGCTGCGAGATGAACTTTGGGCCCCTCCTGCCCAGGCACCACCCCATCCCCCGGCGGGCAGTGTTGGGGCCCTGAAAGACTAGGTACTTCTGCTCATCCTCCCACCCCTTCCCTGTTCCCAGTGCGGACCACCTACTTGTCCCAGACATGCACTCAGTTGTGGCTCTGCCCTAATGGGCCAGGATGGCCTAATTACAGCCTCTGGCTTCCTGAGTAATTATGGGCCTCCCTGGGCTCCAGAGTCTCTGTCCCCGCTCCCAGCTCAGCTGCACAGCCCGGCCACTGCTGCTTTTCTTGCCTGAAATGTCCCCCACTGCTCAGAGCAGCACTCAGGCCTCTGTCCTTGGCCCTTTAGCTCTGTGATATCAGGATCTTACTCCCAGCTATGTCAGGGCGCCCTGTCCTGGAGAGCGCCTCGGTCAGCCTCCGTCCACATGCCTTCCCCCGTGCTAACCACTAACCTACGGTTGTTGACTTCCTCCCTGGCCAGCCCTGTTCTCTGACCGCATGATTCATGGCTGACCCGGGACCCACAGGCGGAGGCTTGGCTCACCTGAGGAAGACAGTCCTTCTGGTTACTGCACCCCTCTCTGTGGGAACCCTCCCACTCCTCCGGGCAGCACCCGGGCAGGAGGCCTGGCAGTGGGAGGACGGTGGGGTGGGAAGGACGGATAGGGAAAGGGCCAAGAGCCCCAGCCACCGTGTGATGAGGAACACAGGCAGCGGGGTGGGGAGGAAGGAGCATGGGTTTCAGAGCTTCTCAGGCCTGGGTTTGAATCCTGACTCCGCCCCTTACTAGTCAGGGCCAGGGAGGAGAGGACGCCCGTCGGAGATGGTGACAAGGGAAGGAATAGGGGAGACTGAGGGGAGACAGTGCAGGGGCTCCAGCTGGACCCGGGGGCCAGGCAGGGCAGGGCGTCCTTGTCGAGGTGCAATTTCTCAGGCTTTTCCTGAGTCGAGGCTAGAGATAGGGACTGGGGACCGTTTACCCAGGGGACAAGAGTGGAAGCCTCAGAGTGGCTGTAAGAAGAGAGTGAAGCACCAGGGAGCTGGGGGCAAGCCCTGGGAGCCGGTTCCTAGGGCAGCCCGAGCTTGAGCCCAGAGAAGCAGACGGAGGAGCGGGGATGCTCATGGAGCCATGGGGGCCCTGGGTGAGACTCTCAGTTTTATAGACAAGGACCCGAGCTCGAATGGGCAGGGACTTGCCCAGTGTCCCTCCATGGCCTTCTGACTCTTGTCCACCCGCTTGGCCTCTAGGGCTGCGCCTCCTCAGAATGGCTCTGCATTCCTAGCCTCAGCTGGCCCAGGGGCCAAGAGCAGAGTTGGGGTGAAGACGGGGCGGTGGCTTTGCCAGTTCCCAGCCCGCCCTGCCAGGCTCGGGGAGGCCGTCCGCTGCTCAGGCATCTCCCTGTGCCCGTGTTGTTCTGTGCTGTTCTGGCCGCCTTATTGGGTGGGGGTGGGGCTCGCTGTGGACCAGAGGGCACATCCTGCCTGGAGCTGCTCCCAGGCCAGGGCAATGCCACCCCCACCCTCAGCCAGCCTGGTGATGGAGTCCCAGCTTGTGCTTGTGCTGCCGGCAGGCCACGTGAGCGGAGCCCACGCTGTGTGAGGGAGGTGGCATGGCAGGCGGGGGCAGGGAGATTTTATTGGCCCTGGGAGGTCTGACTCTGTCTGGGTTCCAGTTTCCAGTTTAGATGGCAATAGAGGACGGAATTCAAGGACACTCTGTCCCACTTAGACACACTCCGGGACGGAGACAAGAGGGGCAGCAGGGGTGGAGAGCGAGGGGAGGGAGGGGTGGCAGCAGGTGGCATCAGCCAGCGAAGGAGCCCTGACACACCCTGGACCACAGCCCCTGGGAGGGCCCCCAGCGCCCCGCATCCAGGATCCCTTCTCTCTGAGAGGCCACCTGGGCTCCGGTTTCCACACAGGGACCCCTGGGGATATCACTCACCTCTCTGGGCTTTCGTTGCCTCCTCTGTGAAATGACAGGATTGGGCTGGCTCCTCCCCAGCTCAAAAGCTGCAGGATTCTCTTTGCCAAGCGAATGATGTCACAGCAGAGTTCTCAGACAGCCGACTGTGGGCACCGGACTTCATCTCTCAGGCCAGCCTGGGTTCTGCTCCCACCACTTCTAGGCCGAGGCGGCTGCAGAAAGCCAGGCCTTCACTGGGCCCTGGCCCTGGCGGCCTAACGCTGTCCTCCACGACTGCCCGCTGTCCTCAGGAGCCAGATGGTTCTCCTTCCTCTGTGCTCCCAGCGCTCTGAGTGCCTCGGGCAGTGACGGCTACTCACTGCTTTGTGTCCGCAGGGTCAGCGCAGCTCTGGGAGGTGGTGATTTGCAGGTCCACGCAGCCAGAGGTTGGTCAGGCCATCTGAGCCCTGGCCTGAGCTCTAGACCGGGCGCTTTGAGGAAGGGGCCATGTCTTCATCTTGTCAGCTCGCCCAGGCCCTAGGCCAGAGCTGGGTGGGAGCAGGTGTCCACAGCCATTTGGTGAATCACCTTCTTCAGGTGTGTACTGAGCTCTCCCTGCCGTGTGTCAGGCTCTGGGCCTGGGATGGAGGATGTGAGCCATGACCCTCATTATCTTCCAGGGGTTCCACAGTCTAGCAGGGTCCACCGGATAGTCTCCAAGGGATGCTTTCTCTTTCCACATGCCAAGTAAACGATTCAGAAGGCGGTAGCCCCGAGAGCTCAGAGGAGAGGCTGGTGTGGTCGGGGTATGCTTCCTGGAGGAGTTGCCCTTTTTCTGGGCTGTTGCTGTGCCCACGCACACTGGGAGGCATCTGTTTCTCATGCCTCATTTTCTTGGCCTTCTCCTCCATACTGCCTGACTTCATCGCTGGCCCCAGCTGCCAAACAGGTCATGAGCAAAGCCTGGAGTTGGGACTGGGGAGTGGGCTGTGGCGGGGCTGAGTCCAGCAAACAAAGACCATGAGGAGGTGTGGAAGGCCAGGCCAGCCGGAGCAGGACAGACAGTCTTGGACAGACTTGGCCTGTTCCCAGAGCTGTCCAGCTGTCAGTCCCCAACCTGAGTGCACGTGTAGAACTATGGACGAGGCCTGAAGTTAGAACAAGGAGTGGCCACCGTGCACCAGGCCTCATGCTGGACACTGAACACGTGTCCTCTCAGCATCTGTGAGTATTCTCATCCCTGCTTCACAGACGGTAGAGTCAGCTCAGGGAAGTCAAGTCACCCGCCTGAACTCCCAAAGTCTGCAGCTGGCAGACCTGGGCTTTGCATCTGTCGAACCCGCGGGCGTCACAGTGCCCAGTGCCCTGCACCTACTTCATGAGAACGCCTCGAGAGACCTGCCCCTCACGGACTGACCTCTCCCCTCTTCTCTCCAATCCTAGGCGCCCCCGGCCCTCCAGGACCAAGAGGACTCAAGGGAGATGTGGGTGTGAAAGGGCCTGTTGGTGGCAGAGGACCAAAAGGAGACGCTGGCAGCTTGGGGCCCCCGGGACCCCAGGGCCCTCAGGGGCAGCCCGGGGAAATTGGACCCATGGGAGAAAGGGGGCCGGTTGGCCTGCGGGGTTTCCCAGGCCTCAAAGGCTCGAAGGGCAGCTTTGGAACTGGAGGCCCAAGAGGACAGCCAGGCCCCAAAGGGGATGTGGGGCCCCCGGGGCCAGAGGGGCCCCCAGGATCTCCAGGGCCCTCAGGGCCTCAGGGAAAACCGGGGATTGCTGGGAAGACAGGTTCACCAGGCCAGCGGGGGCCTGTGGGACCTAAGGGTGAACCAGGGATCCAGGGTCCCCCTGGCCTTCCTGGGCCCCCAGGCCCACCAGGAAGCCAGATTCGCTACTGAGGAGGGTCCGCAGTCCCAGACACTGCCTCACAGAATGCTGGGAAGGGGGCTCAGGGCAGAGTGAGTCCCCAGAAAGCCTCACATGCAGAGAATTGTGCTCCTTTGATCCCGAAGGGGGTTGCCCCCAGGCCGGCCCCAGCACCTTTGGGCTCCCCAGTAGTGACTGTACCCTGGAAAGTAGCCCCTCATACACACACACACACACACACACACACACACACGTACACACGTACACGCACACACACGTGTACACATGCACACATGCATTTCCCTGCTGGCCAGGGGGGCCAACTGGGTTTCCCTGGCTGGACAAGAGGAGAGGGCAGAGAGACCACCTCCCTCTCCTGTGACTGAGCCAGCCAGGGAGGTGGCTACCTCGGGAGGAAGGTCTTGAATCTGCCTCTGAATTGGTGACCAACTCCAGTCTTCCCAGCACCTTCACACCCATCCCAGCCAGTACTTTCCCGGGGCTCCCGGTGGCTGAAAAGACCCAGGGAAACCCTTACAGGGGATTGTGGTTCAAACTGGAAGGACAGGGTGGATTTGGCAACTGCAGACCATCCCCATAACCATGGGAGCAGACCTGGGACCCGCCTGACTCGCCCAGGACAGAGGAACCCACCGTGGCTGTCATTCTCCGGCCCTGCGCACGGTGCCCCCAGGAGCTCAGCGATTTCCACATGTCAGAAAACTCCTTGCTTCATCCCGGCCTCCTCCGGTCAGGAGCATTCCAGAAGACATCTAAACAGCAGCTTCACCCGTGCAGGGACGCTCCGGGCACTGGAGCATTCCGTCAAAGTGGCGCCCGGCACGTGGAAGCTGGAGGAGGGGTGGTGAAGGCCTTGGTCACTGGGCTGCCTAGAGAGCTGGCCCCCTTGCTGTCCATTCCTGGGGGAGGCAGTCTGGTGGCTGGGGGAGGACTGACTCCCTCCGCCCCCATAACAGAGCCGCTCTCCCTTCTGCACCCTCCTGCCCACTGACCTCACCCCACCGTGACCCGGAATGGCCTCTGTATGAGCAGCACAACTGAACGAGGAGGGACAGGCCTGAACACCCACAAGGGGCTCATTTGGACGTCACCCCTCGCCCACCTCCAACTTCCTGCGCACCCTGGCAGCAAGGAGCTCGGGGAGTTCCCAGCAGGGAGCAGGCCGCCCACAGGCTCCACTCGCTGTGCAGCGGCCCGGCCTGTGTTCCAGCAGAGCCCGAGCATCCAGCCTGACTCAGAGACCAGCCCCTCCCCCTGCCCGTGGCCGTGATGCCACCTCCCTTCTCGGAATAGATGTGCAACTGGTTTGCACTCCTGCCCGTCCCCACTGCCATGTAATTCTCCCGTCTACATATGATATCATGCAACTTAGTATTACTGACTCAGTAAACACTTGGAGTGCGGGTGAATTTCCCGCCAAAATATAAGATGGCTCTGTCTTTTGGTTTTGTTCCATCCACCAAAAGGGTGGATTACAAACAAATATTTGGTAATACGCAGTTACAATCGGCCCGAGTTTACACGTTTCCCGCACTCCACCGCAAATCTATATGAACCGAGTTAAAGACGGCTCCCGCGGAGTACCGCAATTCACGCGAGCCGACTTAACTCGTTTCCCGCACTCCAAGTGTAAAGAGTGTTTCCAAGGGGGAGGTGTCTGCTATCTTTTCTGCCCGCCGGGGGCATGATGCCTTCAGGGGCTCCGCCTCACATGGCCCTTGAAGGGGAACCAGTGGACGAGGGGTCCCCTAGCTGTTCAGTCACACTGTGGAGTCTGGGTCTAACCCCCTGGCCCCTCACTCCAGAAACACTGCACTCCGCTGGGGGTTCACGGTGGTCCTGTTGGGACCAGGGACCAGGGTGTCTGAGGGAATTACCCATGAAGAGCGGGGACCCCGTGGGAGACAAGGTGAGCTTTATTAATTGGGCAGCAGGGGCCTAGAGCTCTGTGGGTAAAAGGAGACTGGAAAATAAGACAGGCCTGGACCTCTGAGTGATACCTCCTGCTTTCCTCTTTTGCCTCTAAGACAAGGAGCTAAAACAGAAGGAAGAGGCCAGGCCAGAGCTGCCCCAAAGGGTTTGGCTCTCCAGTGTCCACAGGAAAGAAAGGACAGCTGGGTCCCCTGTGAATCTGTTGGGGCTGCTACAACAGAATACCATAGACTGGGGAGCTTAGAAACAACAGATTTATTTCTCAGTTCTGGATGCGGGGAAGTCCAAGATCAAGACACCATGACTCAGCGTTGAGAGTCCGCTTCCTGGTTCATAGACAGCCATCTTTTCGCTGTGTCCTCACATAGCGAGAGGGTCGCGGGAGCTCATAAAGACACTAATCCCATTCGTAGGTACTTCACCCTAGTCACACCCCTAAGGCATCACCCTTCACATTGGGGGTTAGGTTTTCAACATGCAAATTCTGGGGGATACAAACATTCAGTCTATGGCCGCACAGTAACTTCGTAACTTCATAGCCTCGTGCAAGCCTTGTGCCCTGGCTTGCTTTTCTGGGGGGAGGAGGGGAGGTGGGAAGGGGTGTGCATTAACCAGGGTTCCCCAGAGAAGCAGAACCAATAGGAGATATAGTTCTATGGAGAGAGAAGGAGAAAGAAGCTGAGAAGTCCCATGATCTGCCATCTGCAAGCTGTAGACCAAGGAGAGCCAAAGGGGAAGTTCCAGGCCGAGGGCAGGAGACCTGGGTCCCAGCTCCTGCAGCAGGCGGAGAGACAGAATTCCTCCCTCCTCGCCTTTTCCTTCTATTCAGTCCCTCGACCATTTGGACGATAACCTCTGCATTGGTGGGGGATGATTTTTACTCAGTCCACGGTCCACTGGTTCAAATGCTAATTTCTTCCAGGAACACCCTCAGACACACCTAGAAATCATGTTTAACCAGATATCTGGGCATCCCGTGGCCCAGTCAAGTTGGTCCATAAATTAACCCTCACAGGGTTCTGGTAGAGAAGAGAAGTGGAAGATGGGAACGGGTTAATGAGGCCACTGCACAAGGCTCTCACCACTTCCTCAGCCACCCATGGTGGCATGGGGTCCCTCCTTCCCACAAACACCTGAGTGCGTTGGGCACTGAGTTAGGTACAGTGGGTGAAGGAGGCCTTGTCCTGAGGGGGGCTTGTCTCTAGTAGGGGAGAGGATTACATACTAAAAAGATAGGTATTCGCCTAAGCAGTGCATGGGGCAGGCTATGGGCTGGATAGGAAGGGGCCCCTCAGGGGAAGTCTGGCAGGTGAGGCTGAGCAAGCAAGGAAGGTGTCAGCCAAGCGGTGGCACTGAGATGATGAGCCACGAAGGAGGCAGCAAGGATGAACCAGTGGCACCATTACACAGTCGGGGTCCCCAAGAAAACCTCCAGGAAACAATAACCACTCATTGTCCAGGGTGGAGTGGAGGCCATGCTGGGCCGGTGGGTGGTCCAGCATGAGCTGGGGTCTTGGCGAGCTGGGCCTGGCAAGTGGGAGCAGGAAAAGCCCAAGAAGGCAAGAAACATCCTGGAGACAAAATGAAGAAAAGTTAGACCTTGGATCCATCCCAAAGGATGAGTGGAGGCCAAAATGAGACACAGCCACAAGGATCAAAAACAGGCAATTTGAGAACATAAAAGTGAAGACATTAGAAGAACTCATGGGTCCTGGACAATTACCCCAACACCTTGGCCATGAGGTTTGGGGGATCGGCTTGATTCAAAGGCACAGAGTGGGGGCAGCACCTTGAGCCCACCCACACAGTCACCCTTACCCCAAGGTCCAGAAGTCCCTGGTCACAGAAGTCCTCTCACGCAAGGAAACAGAGGGTGGCACCATGATAGGGACACAGCAGGTGAAGTGAAGGACCCGGAAACTGAAGTTCAACTAAGCCTCAGGGTTACCAGATGTGAAAAACTGCCAGTGTCTCAAGCTTCTGTCTTTACTTCAAAGAACTGACCAGTCTCTCATCTCTCTTCTCTCAGTGGCATTGATCTCTCTTCTCTGCTGCTCTTCGTCCCTTTCTCTTGACCAGCTTCTGTTTGCACAGGGCAGAGGGTGACAGGGCTATCGCGCACCACCAAGGACTCGGCCCTACCATTTCTAATTCCCAACCACAGGAGAGCAATCTGATCGCTAACCCCTTGGGTTGGGGGTCTACCCTTGGTCCAGTTGGCTGTGACCACAGAGGCAGAGGAAGAGGAAGAGGAAGAGGAAGAGGAAGAGGGGTCATGTGGTAAATTAAAGGCATGAGAGAGAACATGAACAAAGCTGGACAGGAAATCTGTGATTGGCAATGTAGGAATAGGAGAATAACATCAACAACAATAACAAACACCAATGGACGCATTACTATGCAACAGAATACCGTTCTAAACGCTTTACATACATTAACTCATTTAATCCTCACTACAATTTACAATATAGGTGGTATACCTATATATCTATATATCCATGTCTATCTATCCATCTATCATCTATCTATCTATCTATCTATCTATCTATCATCTTTATATGTACTGTTATTATTCTCACTTTACAAATAGGGAAACTGAGGTTTGGGAAGATTAATGAACTCCCTCTCCCTTCTGAATGACTTTTAGACATATCTCTACTGAAGCTCAGCCTTTTGAGAGTTAACCTCTGTGCGGCTCTGTTCCTCCCCCATGGAGTGGGAATTATAAGTGAACCTCCCCTGTGATGTTGCTGAAGGGGAGGTAAGATGATTCTTTTGTCCAGCTGCCCAGTGTATGAGTCAGCTCAGGCTGCCATAACAAAATACCACACACTGGGTGGTTCAAACAACAGAAATTTACTTTCTCTGACTTCTGGAGGCTGGAAGTCCAAGATCAAGGTTCTAGATCTTCCTGGCTTGCAGATGGCTGCCTTCTTGCTCTGTGCTCACATGGTTGAGGGAGAAAGAGTTGTGGGGAAGAGGAGCAGAGAAAAAGAGAGAGAGCTCTCTTCCTTTTTTAATTTATTTTTAATTATATTTTTATTGATTTCAGAGAGGAAGGGAGAGGGAGATAGAAACATCATTGATGAGAGAGAATCATTATCAACTGCCTCCTGCACGCCCCCCACTGAGGATCTAGCCCGCAACCCAGGCATGTGTCCTGTCTGGGAATCAAACCATGGCCTCCTGGTTTATATAGGTAGATGCTCAACCACTGAGCCACACCAGTGGGCTCTCTTCTTCATATGGATTTCGTCTATAGCACCCGGCAGTGGTTGCCATTCCATAAACATCAGGAGTTACCATGATGGGCCTCACTACCCAGAGCCAGAGTTTCTTGAATCGCAGGGGCGCCAGTTTCCTCTGCAGTTGAGTGGCCAGAGCTGGGAGCCCTGCACTTCCCCACTTTCCCTTAATGCTCAGAGCTAGGACGGAGCTGGGGAACCAGGAGGCTCAAATGCTTTACTTTTCAAGTGAGAGACCAAAGGCTGAGGGGTTACTGCCCATCCGGCACAGTTCTTAGGTCTCTGGATTCCTGGTCAATGCAATTTCTCATGTCTCTGGTTTTGGGGCCATTCCAGTTCTCAGGCCACTTTGCTGTTGGGTAGGCCATTGGGCAGCTCCTGCTGGGCATTCCCCAAAATGTACCCCCACCCCGATCCCTCTGTCCCACCTCATCAAACAGCAAAGGTACTAATGAGACCCTCCCTTCAGAGTACCTGGGCCGTTATAGGTACGGCTGAAAATCCCAAGAGCTGACCACTGGGCTTGGTGGGGCGGGCAGGCTGACAGACCACAAAGCTTGTAGCAAACACTGTGAGTCAGTGTGTTGCTCTGTGCGTAAACTGGGTGAAATGGACCCAACCACATCAGAGTGAGGAGACTTGGGGGGGCTCCACCTGGAGTCTCTCTGTGGACATGGAACCGGGGCAGGTGGTGCTTCCTACCAGCCGGGCCCTGCACCCATTGTGGGACCATCACTGCCCCACTCTGACCTTCAGTGTCTTTATCAGGAAACAGAGAGGGGCCCTGTCTTGACTCCTTCTGGGATTCCCATGGAATGTGCTGGATTCCTCTGTTCTGCCATTCTAGCCAAGCGCTCTTCCTCCTGCCCGGCCAGGGCCAAAGCAAGAAAGCCTGACCCCAGACCGAGAGGCGATAGCACGCAGGATCGCAGTCACTGGGTTAAAATCATGGCCTTTGCCATTGAGGTGTTTCAGTCCCAACCGGATTTGCAAACCCTGGAAGCAGCTCCTGGGCCTCCTTCTGAGGAGAGCAAGAGGGCTTCCTGGAGGCCACAGGCCTCGGGCACGTTGGTGAGCCCCCACAACACGCCAGCTGGGGTAGGACAGCGGCCTGGGCAGAACCTGCAGGCCTTCCTCCAGCTCCCCTTCCCTGGCCGGGCTGAGCTGGCAGCTGCTGCGCCAGCCCTGGACACACCTGTCAAAACAG